TGTATCCAAGTCAGTCAGGGTATTAGAAAAATGTTACACAAGTTTATAATTTTTTAAAGTAAAAGAAGGTCCCAGTTGCTGGAGGTAGTTCAAAAGGTGTTTAACAACAACAACAACTGACTGAGACAAAAACTTCTCAGATCCCAGCCCCAAAGACTAAGAAACGGTAAAAGAGTTCTGGATGCTACTGGATATGGCTGTCTCTGGATACCAGAGTCTGTAGAAATGGCAAGGCCTCTATAAACCAGCACAAAGGGGCCCTGGGCCCTAATGTGGACTGAGACTCAACAAAACGCATTTAAGGCTTTAAAAACAGGTCTGATTTCCACTCCAGGCATAGAATTTCCAGATGTCTCTAAACATTTACAACTGTTTGTTCAAGAAACACAAAACAAAAGGGGTTTTAACCCAAACTTTGGGGTAACGGCAATGTCCTGTGATGTACATGTCTAAATGACTGAACCTTGTAGCCAGATGTTGGTCCATCTGCCTGAGAGCAATAGCAGCTAAAGTTAGTTTAATGCAAAACAAAACAAAACAAAACAAAACAAAAAAACAAGTAAGTTAACTCTGGGTCAAGATCTTATCCTCACAGCACACAGTGACATGGCTGAGGCTGCCCTCTTGTGTGATGACACGGGTGCTCATCCATGACTGTCAGGAATGAAAGGTGAAACCACCAGGTAGATGGGAGCTGTAGCAGTTCCGTTAACTGAAACAATAAGGATGCACACCAGGAACCTCGGCCCAGAGAGCAGCACTGATCCATCTGAACTAGGCTCTCAGATAAGGAAAAAGGAAAGCCCACCCTCCACCATCCACATGGACAGTCACTACACTTATACTGTCCGGCATGCCCAAGTATGATCTAGAAAGAGGGCTTCACAGCACTGGGAAGAAAATCTTGCCATGGACCCTTGCCAGGCTTAGTAGCATACATCTTTAATCCCAGCACTTGGGAGACAGAGGCGGGGGATCTCTGTGAGTTTGAGGCCAGCCTGGTCTACACAGGACAGCTAGGACTGTTTCAGAAAAACCCTGCCTCACCAAAAAAGAAAGAAAGAAAAAGAAAAAAAAATTTGCGGCAGGGGTGGGAGGAGGCAGGTTATTTGGCTTCCTCTATATATTGCTGCCCTCCTGCTGGGCTTCTGACCTGGCTCGTCACCAAACCAGTGGGGCCCTTGATATTTAGGAACCAGGTGGAGAAAATTGATATTCTGATGATATACCATGACCACTTAATGTCTGAGACACCATGGTAAAATAAATAAACCTGGGCTTTCTCTAATTTGGTTTGATGTGGTCTGACTGGGGTTATAGCTTCAGTGGAGAGGTTTATGGGGGGCAGAAACTTTTCAGTCACTACAGGCACTCCAGCCCTTCATAATGGTTAATCACTGGACTATCCTGGGACCCAGCTGACATCTGAGTACACCACCTGTTTCCCTTTGACCAGTCTGGGTCAAGCAAGTAGCCAGATGACACGGGAAGTAACCTGGAAAAGACCCTAAAAGGTTTGATTTTTTTCCACTCCTAAAGCAGTAAGGAGAGCTGGCACGACACCAAGGGCCCATGTCACCTAGAGCAAGAAAGCAGAAGCCACATTGCTGCCAAATGACTGTCTCTGGATGATGGACCCATTAAGATTAGATTCCACCGATCCCCAAGCCCTTCCTCTCCCTATCCTCTATCTCCCACAGGGTCTAACTGCTGGTATGAGTTCAGGGTCATGCTCCAGTGGGGACTGCCTTTAGGCCTGGACCAGGGAACTAAGAATAACAGGACATGTTATTACCTAATGTAATTACAGACCAGCAGCCCATATTCATTCTGACCTCCGTTCACTGATGCCCACTTTAAATACCTGGTTGTATTACAGAAAGGAAAGACATGGAGCTTTATCTTTTGAGACAGAAATACAGAATTTACAATTCTATGCATGCCCTGTGGCTGTGCCAGAAGAAAAGCAATTTTCTATTACAAAATTCAGTTTTGTGGAACTGAAGCTTCCTAAAAAAAAAAAACCATCATTAAAAGATTCAGGCCTCTGGAAAATAGAAAATACTTGCAGAATCAGGCCCTATGCCACAGGAAGGGACCCTGAGGCTGTCTTAACCATTCCCAGCCAGACATAAGCCAGGACTGTTGGTTATGTTTAGACACCTGGCCCCTGCCATACTACACAGGGATAGGAACTGGCTGTCAGCCCATTGACAGATAAAACCCACTGTGACTAGAGGTAGCCCAAATTAAGGTTCTGCTTTATGGGTTAATTCATCAAGATAAAAACAATATTGAGTCCCTAGGACTGCTTGGTGGGCATGTACCAATAGTTAGACTATGTGTACCTCTTCTGATGATTTCCATACTAAGTAGACAGTTTGTTCAAAAGATGATATTAAAAGGTTTCATTTTTGAGTTAAAACAACAGCCAGATTCCCTTACAAAAGTGATCCTAGAAAACTGAAAAGACTTAGACTTACTTCTCAGGAGATAAAGGAGACTATGCATAGCTTTGGAAAATAACCTGTTATTCCCATGCTAATTGATCAGGAGTAATTTTAAAAGATATTGCCAAGGTTGGGCAAATACCTGAAACCAGCTTCTGTTCTCCTTGTCCCACTGTCTAACTACCCTGCAATTAGCATTGACTGGGCACTTAATTCTCATTCTGATTGGATTAATCATGGAATCCTGCATGTTAACTAAAACAGGATGAGTCTATGATTTGACTCATGAACTCAGTTCAGTGGGAAATGTAACAGGCCAAAGTCCCTAGTAGGCCCCCAGACTTTAGCACAACCGAATCCAAGAGGGAAGTGCCATTCAGGCTGAAGAATTCCGCATATAGAAAGTACCACCTGCCAAAGGAAAACAAAGGCCTCACCCACCAAAGTGCATATTTACAGCAAGTCTCTACATGCACCAACCTTGCTTTTTAGTCTGTAGTTCTGCTTCTGGCAAATTGTTCTTGTTAACTGAAGTATGTCAACCCAGAACATGGTTTCTGTGCTTAAAAGCTCATCCTGGGAAAGGCTCGGGGCTACGCTGGGATACAGGAACAGCCAGTGTAGCTGAAGGCCAGCTAATAAAGACTCTCTCTTGCCTTAAACCCATGTTCCTGCAGACTTCTTTGGTGAAGATCCAGAACAAGCACCTCAAGAATCTTTCTCTATAATCGACCACATATTCAGGCACAAAGCAAGTCTCAACAGATAGAAGAAAGCTGAAATAAGCCCTGCACCCTATCAGACCACCACAGATTAAGGCTGGACATCAACAACAGTAGAAGAATCAGAAAGCTTACAAACATGTGGACCCTCAGGACATCTCTAATGAATGAAAAATGGGTTAAGATAGAAATAAAAACAGAAGTGATAACCATGCCACAGACTGAATGCTTTCTCAAGGTACTAGTCCATGGGGCTGGAGAGGTGGCTCAGTAGCTAAGAGCACTGGCAGCTCTTCCAGATATCCAGAGTTCCATTCCCAGCAACCACACGGTGATTCACAATCATCTGTAGTAGGATCTGCTGCCCTCGCCTGGAATAAAGACATACATGTAGACAGAGCACTCATATACATAAAATAAGTATCTTTTTTTAAAAAAATTATTGTTTACTAGTAACCAAGAAGCCCCCCCCCCATATAAAATCAGTCCACTGCTCTTTCATTTACCCTTATCTGATTTTCCAGGACATGTACAGAATACAGAGAGATAATATATTACACAACCTGTCTTCCTGACTCTGCTCTTGCTGTGAAAAAGCACTATGATCAAGGCTTCTCTTATAATGGAAGGCTTTTAATTTTGCGACTGACCAAGGCTCAGTCCATTCTCATCTTGAAAGGAAGCTTCACAGTGGGCAGACATGGGGCTGAGGGTTAAAACCTGATACACAGACAGGCGGCAGGCAGGAAGAGACAATTGTCTTGCACTGGGTTTCTGAAACCTCAAAGTGACACACCTATACAAACAAGACACATCTACTCCCAGAAGGGCAGACCCCCCCCCCCCTAATTTTACTCAGTTACTTCCACTAGTTGGGACCATTCAAAGATAGGAGCCTGAGGATGCTGAACAAATATAAACCATGACACGAATACAATCTATGAAGAAAGAGCTCTAAAGAGTGAAAGACACTAAGGAAAACAGAGAGAGAGGAAGACGAGAAGACAAAGAGAGACAAACAATAGGAAAAACTATTTCCTCCAAATAACGGGAGTCAACTTCTCTGGTTGGTTACAGGCTTCCTTAATATAACCTTCCCTACCCCATCTAAGAAGAGATTAAACAATTCAAGGCCTCCAAACTTAGGTTTAAAGCAACATCTTTTCTCTGAGTGCAAGGCATGATCCCTTGTTTCCCTCCCTACCCAGTTCACTCGGAGAACCTGGGGAACCTTGGATCAGGTCTGCTGGAACCAATGAAGGCATCAGTCTTTTGCTGTGCTGAAGTGTGGCTGTTGTAGATGACGCCATCAGGAAGCTGCATTCTACCTAAGTGGATGTTTCCTCCACAAGGCTACAAAAGTTTTAAATTCTATTGACCTTTTTGTTTTTGTAGTTGTTTCTCCAGACAGGCTGTCTCTCTGTAGCCCCTGGCTGTCCTGGAACGCGCTCTATAGACCAGGCTGACCTCTGCTTCCCAAGCACTGGGTTTAAACGCATGCACCATCACCTCTGATTTAACTATTTTAACAAATTAAACCCGAAAGTCTTCAGTTCAGCAAACATGGAGAGTTACAAATCTGTCTGATAACAACGGATGTCCTGCACAAGGACGTTCCCACACAAATGCTCAGTTTCCTCCATGCTCTGCGCGTGCAGCAGAGCGAAATCACTCAGAGGTCCCGCTTCACCATGGGACCTGCAGGGACCTCAAGGGGCAAAGGGAATCACTACGGCCACCGCGTTCTCCGCCGGTTCCCACAGACCCGGCAGGACCCCACACAGGATCCCGCGGCTCCACACACGTGGGGACGGCGGCCCTCGCTCACCATGGCGGATTCCGAGCTCGCCTGGCTCGCCTCAAGGCTCCGGGCTCCGGGCAGCGGATCACAGCACAGCACACGGAGCAGTAGAACCTTACTCAGTCCAGAGACACGGTGTTTGCAGCACGGCGAACCGGAAGTGCCCTCCCCATGTTGACTGGCAGTCCATCTGGAGGTCCTGATTGGCTACTGAGACCTGAGTGCCAGGAGAGGCGTCCTTAGGGACAAAGTGTTGTGAAGGGACGGGGCACAGTGGTTCCCAGCCCTGGCTTCCAGCCCAGACCTGCAGAGACTGGCATTGCAGCAGAACTTGGGGCTGGACTGCAAAGTCTTCCCTGGACATCTCTGCACTCAGCAGGACTCTTTTCTGGGGCATTAGTGAGGTTTTGCTATGGAACTGAGGAAGGACAATGGAAATCGGCCACTTCCTGAGCTAGATACCTCAGGCCAGCTGTGGAAAACAGGCTATGATTTTCATTTTTGTAAAAAGAAAGTTTGATTAAAAACCATGCACTAATCTGCACTCCCTTAAACCGCTATGCTGTGGAAAAGGCCCATCAGTGCAAACACAGGATTTAGAGAACTAAACCCTACGGGGTCAGAGTGAGCTTGTTACTTCTCACGCCATGTTTACTGTAGAGCCGCAGACTCTGATGGCAAAATTATACATATTTTACAGCTCACTTGACATACGGGTTTACAGATTTGTTTTTCTGCCAATTCTGCATCAAAGTGAAAATAAGGAAACCAATTAAGAATACTTATTTTTTGGTTGTGAGCCTAGCCTTTAACGGCTGAACCATCTCTCCAGCCCAAGATACATCATTTTCTATATATCTAGCTTTCTTGATGGCTGGCTGGCATCTTACCTGACTCAACTTTCCTTTCTCCTCTTTCTCTGCTTAGATTTCCTACCTTGATATATTCTGCTCTGTCCTAGGCCAAAGTTTCTTCTTTATTAACCAATGGTAGTAGAACATATTTACAGTATACAGAGGGGCATCCCATATCACTAAAAAAATCTGCCAGATACTATGGGCCTATAGGCTGAAGATGGATGCCCCAATATTAAAAAAGAAGTTTGGGTAACTGCCCAGGGAGCAAGATTTCTCTGTCATTTCTAGAACCTTGGAAGTTGCTTACAATGCACCTACTATTTACTTAGATAATATTATATCCTTCTGGGGTCTTTAGTAGAGTTGAAGACTAGATAGCTATAATTATAGTTTTCCTTAGTTATGATAAAAATAAATTAGATACAAAATTTTCTACTCACAAAGATAGGATAAACAAGAGCATTTGCCTTAATTTGCAAAATGTAAATAGACTAAAATTTATAATGATAATTCTTGCTGGGTAACTTTTGTTATATGTAATTTTGCTTTATAAAAGTTAAAACCTTCCTTTTTATTGAGACAGAAAAGGTGAGATGATGTGGAATTCTTCTCTCTATGCTGTGAATATTTTATTACCATTGGTTAATAAAGAAGCTGCTTTGGCCTATGGCAGGGCAGAATATAGCAAGGCAGGAAATCCAAACAGAGATAGAGGAGGAAAGAAGGTAGAGTCAGGTGAGATGCCAGGCATTCCAGCTTGGCAGAACCTCGGGAGTCTATCTGTGGAAGAGGTGTGCAGCTTCCATGAGCTTGCAGGAACTGGGGAGACCAGTAGTGGTAAACAGGGCTCAGCCCAGCCATGGAAGAGGGAGAACAGTTTCCACAGCCTTTCATGTAAAGACAACGGCTAGCCCAGGGCATACCAGTCATGGCAGAGGGGACACAGCTTACCAGAACTGATACCCCAGGACCTGTATGGCCCTGTAGAGGCCAGCCATGGAAGAGAGGAGCATAGCAGCCTCAGCTTTGTCTTCCCTGGGCCTGTCTGGCCAACAGAAAACAGCTGTGGAAAGGGGGATGCAGCTCACCCCTCCTGGTTCTGCAGAGTTTACCTGGCCCTGCAATAAAGATCAATGGGAGAGGGCAGTGCAGCTTCCCCTGTTTGGGTCCCCAGCACTGTGGAGGTCAGATGTGGCACAGGGGAGTGCAGCCTGCCTGACCTGGGCCCAGAGGTCATCTCTGGATTTGCATGGGTCAACCATGGAAGAGGGGGACACAGAATTCCTAAGGTCAGTCTGGCCCTGGATAGAGTATTAATGAAAGAGGAGTCACAGCTTAAATACCCAAACTCCCCAAGGCCTCTAAGGCCCTGCTTAGGCCAGTTGTGGAGTAGGAGAGCACAATTTCCCTGGCCAGGGTCACCAGGAAATGGCAGGCTCTGGGGAAGCCAGAATGGAAGAGAGGGCACAGCTTCCCTGACCTTATACCGCACTGTATGACCGCTGATGAGGGGGACAGTCGTGTAAAAGGGGGATGCAGCTTACATGGTCTGGCACCCCAGAGCTTGGCCAACCCTGTTGAGTCCATCTACAGAAGAACATGAGAAACTTCCGCAGCCTGCTGGGCCATGGAGAAGCTAGCTCAGAAGAGGAGGCAGATCTGCCACAGGCTTACAGGCCCAGGTGAGGCCAGCTGTGGAAGAAAGGGACAAAGCTTCCCTGTCTTTGCTCTCCAGGGCCTGTCCATCTCTGTGGAGGTCAACTGTGGAAGTGGGGGCCACTGGCTCCCCAGCCTGGATCCTCAGATTCTGTTCATACCAGCAGAAGCTAGAATTGAAAGAGTGGGGCCCAGGTTCCCCAGCCTGGAAGGCCATTTGGAGGCCAGTGGTGGAAGAATGGGTATAAGTTTACTGGGCTAGAAGGCCTTGAGGTGGCCCATCATGTAAGATGTGTTACACACCAGTCATGGAATAGGATTGTAGCTTCCCCAGCCTGGCACACCAGGACCTTTCCTGTTCTCATTATGCCAACCATGGGAGAGTGAGTGGGGCAAAGCTTCCTTGACACGGCTCCCTAGGAACTGTCTAGAACTGCAGTAGACATTCTTGGAAGAAGGGGGCACAGATTCACCGACTTGGCCTCCCTGGGCCTCTGCATCCCTAGGGAGGTCAGTCATGAAAGAGCAGGTTCATCTTCCCAGCCTAGCAGGCACTATGGAGGCTGGGTGTGGAAGAGGCAGCACAGGCCATTCAAAGATGAGTGGGCACAGATTTCATGACTTAGTTCCCCAGGGCATGGCTGTCTGCAGGGAGGCCAGCCATGGCATAGGAATCACAGCTTCCCTACCCTGGTACCACAAGGTGTGGCCTGTTCTGGAGAGGCCAGCTGTGGAAGAGGGGAGTGTGGCTTCCCCAGCAAGGCTCCACAGGCATTCTCCAGCTCTGTGGTTTCCAGACATGTAAGAGGGAAAAGAGCTCCCCCAGCCTGGCTCCTTAGGGCCTGTCCAGCCCTGTTGAGGCCAGACTTAGAAGAGGGGATACAGTTTTCCCAGGCTGGTCTCCACAGTAGTTAGGCTCTGGAGATGCCAGCCAAGGAAGAGAAGGTGCAGCTTCCCTGGCCTGGCAAACCAGGCCCTTTAGAGTCCAGCCATGGTAAATTGGGGCTTAGTTTCCCCAAATTGACTATCCAGGGCCTATCCTGTCCTGCAGACACAAACATGGAAGAGGGGGCACATATTAACACTCCTGGATCCCCAGTCATGTTCATCCACGTGGAGCCAAGCCATGGAAGAAGGGGACACAGCTCCCCAGTCCTGGGTCCCCATGGCCTGTCTGGCCCTGTGGAGGCCAACTGTGCAAGAACTGGGTGCAGGCTTCCCACTTTGGTCCCCATGGTCTACCTGAGCCTGGGCAGGCTTGCTATGGAAGTGGGAGGGTTCAGGTTCTCCTGATTTGCTCCGGGTGCTTCTGTTGGAAACTGGATAGGCCAGCCGTGGAACTGTGAGTATACCTTCCCTTTCCTGGTAGGCCCTGGGGAGGCTGGGTGAGGACAAGAGTGTGCATCTTCAATGGTCTTGCGGGACCTAGAGATTCCAGTCATACAAGAGACGGTGCAAGCCATGGAAAAGGTAGCACAGCTTCCACAGCCTTGCACCGAGGACATGGCCATCGCAGAAAGGCCAGCCATGGAAGAGTGGGAGCAGCTACCTGGCCTGACACCCCCGTGACTCTCTGAATCTGGGGAGCTCAGCCATGGAAGAGGGGTGTGCAATGCCCCTGGTATGGCTATTTAGGGCCTGTCCCACCCAGAGGAGGCAAGCTAAGAAAGAGGTTACTTGTCTTCCCCTGTTTGGTAGGCCCCTGAGAGGCTAGGCCTGGAAGATGGCATAATTTCATTGGCCTGGCTCCCCAGGAACTGTCTGGCGCTGTGGAGCAATCCTTTGAAGATGGGAGCACAACTTCACCAGGCTCGCTCCCCCAGGTCGGTTTAGCCCTGAGGAGGCCAGCTTTGGAAGAGCAGGCTCACCTGCCCGGCATAGCTGTACCTGTGGAGGTCAATACTGGAAGAAGGGCAGAGGTCAGCCATGGAAGATAGGGCACAGCATCTGTGACCTGGCTCCCCAGGCCATGGTCATCCCCTGGGAGGCTAGCCCTGGAAAAGGGAGTGCAGCTTTTGTGGCTTGGCAACCCTGGGTCTAGCCTTGCCTGAGATGGCCTGCCAAGGAAAGGGGGCACAACTTCTCTGGAGTGACTCCTCAGGCCTGTCTTGCCCTGCTGTGGCCAATCATGGAAGAGGTGACTCAGCTTCTCTGGCCTAGCTCCCCAGGGAATGGCCAGCACAGGGAAGGCCAACCATGGAAAAAGGGGTGTAACTCTCCAGACTGCATCCCTAGGAAATGATTACCCCTGCAGAGGGGTGTCATGGTGGAGGGGGCACAACTTACATTTCCTGGTACCACAGTGCTTGACCAGCCCTGGTGAGGCCAGCCTTAGAAGAGTGAGGCACAGCTTCACCAGTCTGGCTCCCCAGGGCCTGTGTGGCATTGCGTAGGCCAGCCTTGGGAAAGGGTGGTACAACTTCATGGGTCTGGCTCCTCAAGGCCTGTCCTGTACTGGAGAGGTCATCCATGGAAGAGGGGATTCAGATTCCCTGGCCTGGCTCTTAGGGGCCTGTCATATTCTGGGGAGTCCAGCCATCAAAGCTGGCACACAGTTTAACTGGCCTGGTAGGCCCTGGAGTGGGTATCCATAGAAGAGA